TCCGCCTTTAATCAAACACGACGTGCTCCTACATGCACGTGGACATGGAAATAGCCGATATTAAATCATATTGACGTTCTACTCGATTCCCTCATGCTACGAAGCCCGCCATTACGTCAACAAATACCGAATTAATCCTTGCTTTCTGTTGTCTTTAACACTTCAAGGAAATTAATTTCAATTATGGAAGACTAATATAGGTATTATTTTTTAATTTTAACATTTTATAAAGTACAATCGTACATAAATGAAATATAAAGGTAAACAAAAACAAATTGTATTAAGTTAAAAAGAACTAGATCATATAATTAATTTTAATTAACTCAAGGTTAGATTGTATTACATACATGAGAAGGACGCTTCTGCTGAAGTATCTAAAAATTTAGTTGGATACAGACTTAAAAATAATTTTGTTGGACCATCAAAAATAATTATGTAGGAAACTCAAGCATAATGAGCAATGCTACAAAAAATTTTGATATTCTAACACTGGACTTAAGCTTTCTACATAATTATTTTGATAATTTAAAATAATAAAATTATAATTTTCTGTATCTATCTTTTACTTTTAGATCTTTTACATTTCAGCAAAATCGTTCTCTCTGTGGAAACTCTTCTCTCTGTTCAAGATTCAATTAATGTTTTAAGAACATCAATAATAATTATGATCATTAGTAATTAATACATATAGAAAAAACGATTTTGCTAAAGTATCTAAAAATTTAACTAAATACAGATTTGAAAACAATTATATAATTATGCCATTAAAATAATTATGTAAGACGCTCAAAATAGTTGCTATCTATAGAATATTAAAACTTTTTGCAACACTATTGTCAATGCTTAAGCGTTTTATATAAGTATTTTTTTTTATAATTCAAGAAAATTATTCTCAAATTTCTAAAAAAATCTAGCTAAATTTTTAGATACTATTAGCAAAACTATTCTTTTGATGCAACTTTTATTATCAAACAGCAAAACCATTTGATTTCTTTTATCTCAATGCTTTTCTAAAAAGTAAATTTTTTACAAAATAAGGAGAAACACATCGATCAACATTTGCTCACGAGATCGCTGCATATCAGCACGGAAAAAAAAAAGATTTAAAACAGCTAAAAACTTCTCTGATTTAACAAATCTACAGGCGTAACATAAGAACAGCTAGTTTTCTATTAAAGTAACAAAGTTATGTAACTGAATTAAATTAAAGATTGTAATTAATCATATTCGTTCTAATAGCATAACAAATTTGTTAATACAGCAAAGATAATTTAAAAAAAAATGAATTTATTATAAAGGTCAATATTTCATTGTAGCAAAGAATTAGTAGCTCTAACAATTCAAGCTAATTAAAATAACAAATTCTGATAAATACAGGGTTTTTATTTTAATATAATAAAAAAAAATGCAATTCTTGAATTATTGAATAATACAACAATAAACATATATACAATTTTTATTTATAGTGTTATTTAAACGTAAGCTGGATCTTCATGGTATGCAGTTGCAGGTTAGAATCTAATCTAACTTATTATAATTATAAGTCACATGTAGGCTCTGAACATAAACAGGACGCACCGAAGTTAAATTTTCGCGTCTTGCGTTCTGCGTCTTACGATGCAGAAAATATGTATTTTGCAATTTGAGACCCGCATTCAGCATGGATCAAATTTTCCGGAAAAGCGTAATAATAAAAAAATCAGAATATTCTTGACCAATCATTACCAAATTATCAATTCCTTCGCGCTATTTTTATTCCTACTTTTGATTTGATGATAATTCACCTTTGTTTGCACAATCGTTATCTAGTAACGCTAAGTATAAGTATATACATATATATTCATCATATATCCCTTTTAATTTTAACATTACATTATCAATATAATAGTATACGTATTAACTGATTCATCGATTTAGTGATTTCATATCTCATATTCTCATTATCCATTATTTAGCGTTATCAAGCTCCTGAACAAATGCATACTAATTAATAACAAATAACAAAGACGAAGTAAGCTCGCGATAATAAATAATAAAATGTTTAGTATAACTTAAAATGACAGAACGTCTCTTTGCATTTAATTTACAATGACGTTATTATGTTTTGTTGGAATATAACGTGATAATAGTATTGTTGTCTTTTGTTATCTTTTACATAGATATACATGATCGTAAATAGTCAGTCAATTAGATTTCTATACAATATCTAATAATACAGTATCTAAAAATTTAATTAGATACACATCTGAAAATAATTTGATTAGATGATAGGGCGTTCAAATTGGTTGCTAGAATATCAAAACTTTTTGCATTATTACCTGCATTATTATAAGTTCTACATAATTCCAATAAAATTATTTTCAGATCTGTATCTAAAATTTTAGATATTTCAGCAAAATCATTCTTTCTGTATATTTATATTGGTTAAATTTATCGCAAAGTAAATTGTATCGAAATTGATTGTATAAGAAATCGCTTGATCGCTTTTGGAATTAGGGTGTAATTACTCAAATATTTGGAAAGATGGTACTTTCAAATGTGGTACTTCTCAATCGTATTATTCACATAATCAAGATTTTATCATAATAATTATTGTATTAAATTTAAGAGCAAAACAAAAAGAAAAGTCGGTAATTATAAGTAGCAAGCAAAAGACTATAATCAGCAGAAATCTGTGACCAAGTAACATGGCATAACTAATGACAAGGAGATAAACACGGCTCAGCAAACGACGCGTAACGAGTGAAGGTGCCATGGAGATTTCGTGCGGAAACGGACCGGAAACTCCCGGGGGAAGCCCCTCTTGTCAGGAAATTGTTAGGACTTGAACCCGCCGGCGGAAGTGAATCCTCCGCCACAGCAGCGGAGGTAGTGGCATTGGCGGTGGCAGTAACAGTGGCAGCGGCGACGGTCGATGTAGAAAATCGGAGAAGAAAACCCACGGGATGCGGTAAGAGCGCCAGTGAAACCCGAATTAGACGGTCGTTCGATTTGAGATAAATAAAGAACGATCGCTTTTCAAATGCCTCTCTGTTTCAGGGTTTTGAAAAAACAATCAGCGATGGCATTTAAGGTAATTCTCCTCTGGCAAGAGCTTCGAAAAATATGCTTATTAACTCCAAAACTAAATAAATCAGTAAATCGAATAAATAAATAAACGCCAAATATGAAGATTAAATTTTAGTTTATAATAATGCTTCTATATATGAACATTTGAATATTTTCCAGTTCTTCAATTTGCACGCCAAATACAATTAATTTTGAAAATGCAATCCTAAACTAAAGCCGGAATAATAATATTACAAATTCAATCAATTGATCGCCAATTTAACATTTTATACATGATTGGGTTATTCATTTTTTTTGTTTGAAATACTAGGAGCATCTATATATAGAGCCTAAATAATGATCTTCATTTCTTTTTTTCTTTTAATATTCACAACTCTATAAATATTTTTCAAATATTTCAAGGTAAATAAAAAAATTTATATATATGTAAGAATCACTTAATAATTTTTGTATAAAAATGATGAAAATTAATCATAGACACGAATGATCTATCGTGTGTACTAAAAGTAAAAGTTAATAATAATAATAAAACATTGTAAAGAATTTATTACGAAAAATACTATCAAGCTAAATAAATAAAATAAAATAACTTAACAATATTTTTTTTTATTTAAGAAAATATTAATATACATGAGAGAATTAAGAAAATTATAGGTTCCTGTCGAATCTTCGAAATTCTTAAAAAATACTTCGAAAGCATCTTCATTACGTTAGATTTTTTGCTGCAATTTTTTGTATGTACTTTTTTAAGTTATTACTTTATTCCACCGTTGCGACAGCTCTTGCGAAATGGTTTGCATTTCGAGTTTCAAATAACCTTGTGCGATTGTTGACATTGTGAAGTATGTAATGCCGTGGCGGAGAGCTAAAATGCAACGTGTTGAATAATGGAATGGTTACGAGTAACCCGGGTTAAGTTGCTCATCTATAATAATGTACAGTATGTAGCTAAGCTCCGCCAAAAGCCGCATTACCCCTCGCTTAATAATACGTCACGGTTGATAGAGATCCTTCTGGTGAATAAATGATGTAAAGACGGCGGGGCGAGGACAGAATATTCAATCACTTCCTATGAAAAAGAGACTTTCCTACTTTTCGAGAGACAAACGCAAAGAAATAATTAAATATGCATTAGTATTATATTTATAATATATTTTGTTCCATTCTGCATATGCTTTATAAATTGACATCTTATCGATTTTTATATAAATTATACAATATACTCTTGGTGACTTTACTATCTAAATCCTTCAGAATGGAAAATCAGAGTTAAAAAAAAATTTCAATCTTTAAGAGTAAAATTTCACTCTAAAAATTTTAGAAAGCATATGTGTTAATTTCGCTTATTTCCCCTGAGTATTAATAGTTTTTTAAGTCCAAATTAATACTCAACAAAGATAAGTTTGATAACAGCGAATCTAATAAAATTCATTCGCTAATATTAAAGGCTTAACTTCTCTTGCAATTAAGCTCATTGTGACAAACAAATACAACATACACGTACAAATTGTTATCAAAATTTATTACGCGGTACATTTACAACGGCATATAAAGATGTGTAATGACATGCAATTTATTTTTCTAAATGCTTTTCGAATTATCTAAATGCTTTTCGTATTGTCTTTACATAATTTAATGACTGTGATCTCAATTAAATATACATTAAAATATTCCATGATATCTATTCTTGTGTTGACTTATCATAAACTTCATATTTAAACAACATTGTAAAGTCGCCTGGCTCGGTTTGATTCGCGTTTCACTTTTATAGAAATTAAACGTATTGCATCCGTATCACGTGGTAGTTCGCGATAAAACAGCTCGCGGTTATGCAAGTGAAGTTGTGCTGCATTTCAGTCGCTTTATGCATATGATATGCGCAACATCCCTCGCGATAAATACTCGGGATAAAGTCTCTCGCACGCTGTAACATGTCGTCGCTTAGTCTTCGGTTGAACGAAAGGATTTGGCTACGTATATGTGTTCTCATGTTCCTGTTTATTTTCATTGACGGTTTGTTCATGGATTCCGAAAATCGACTTCTCGTCAACACGAAATGGGGTCTCTTTCACGGCAAGTGGAGCAGGACTATACGCAATCGGTCAGTCGCGAATTTTCTCGGCATACCATATGCTCTGCCCCCGATAGGTGATTTGAGATTCAGAGTACGTATTGTTTGAACACGAGCGGGTATAATTTAATTTAATTTATTCTGTGTATCCTTTAATGATAAGTGAGGATCAACTCATCTGTAGAACTTGCAAAGATTTTGAAAGATTGATAATTTTTGTCCAATTCCAGGCAAATAAAAATCAAAATTATAAATATATATTTTACATATATTTTATTTTTAACTGAAACAAATCCGAATTATATCGCTTTCACACAGAGCGTGAATTACGAAAGTGACTTATGTATTTCTATAGTGAGTTTCAAAGTAAATAGTATCCACTAACGTATATACTTGATAAATTAATTAAATTTTAATCAAATTTAGTACATTTTCTTGAATTAAATTATTTAACTCCAGTGTTTTAGTTAATTAATAACATATTGTGTGAATAGAAATAATAGTGATCTATAGAAATTATTAAAAATTATTCAAATTGAATATAATTTGACATTATAAATTTAGCGGTACGCAAAAAGTGCCAGCAAAGCGAACAGACTTTTTAATAATACTTTACATCTAATTTTTTTTTTATTAATTTCTATTTTACATCTAATGAAGTGCATATTTAATATTTAATCTAATTTATCACCGTTTTTCTGTTATACTTTTTATTTTTATAAATATTTATAATTTTGTGTATAAAAATTAAGACGAGTCATTTAATTCATTGAAAATTCACACTTTTCAGCAAGAAATTACTTGACTGACATGAGTAAGAAAACGTAAATTCACATTCATAGTTTACATTCCGTGTGAACGCGACATTAATTAACAATGTAGTTGGATTATATAATATTTTTGTCAGAGCCCGCAACGATGGAATCACACGTGGACAAAGGTTCGCAACGCTACGGTCGATGGGCAAAAATGCATTCAAACTGATATAAAAACTTTCAAAATTGTCGGTAGTGAGGATTGTCTTTATCTAAACATCTTCATTCCCTATGTGAGTAATACATTGTATACTAATATTATCGCTCAATAATAATAATAAATAGAATGCGCAATAATAATAAAAATCTAATGGATCAATATTCTCATAATCACGTAAATAGTTAACATCGCGCGCTATTTTTATAGTTTTGCCAAAAATTGCAAAGTAAATAGAAAATTACAATATTTCAAGAACAAACACGAACGAACTCAATTAGATGAGGTCTAACAAGGCTTAACTAAACTTAAACGAATCAAGGTTACGTTGTTGATGCGATATTTTTCACGTTAAACATTTAGCGCAGGGGTTATTAAATATTTCGTTTCTACGTTTATTTAAATAACGATTTTTTTTGTCATTCTATAATTTTATATTAAAAATCTTTATAGACTTTAGACCGGCAGAAATCGACGAAACTACCGGTTTTAGTCTTTGTGCATGGGGGTGCATATGTAACAGGAAGTAGCGATAGTAATCTGTATGCGCCGGATTATTTGTTGGAGCAGGATATAATCCTTATCACGCTGAATTATCGACTTTCTGTTTTAGGTGAGGAGAAAAGATTTATCTAATGTAATTGTCAGTAATTTTTTCATTACAATAATGCGTTAGATAGCAAATTGAAGCACACAGAATAATTTTGTTAAAATATCTAAAAATTTAACTGGTACAGATCGGAAAATAATTTTGTTAAATCAATAATTATGTAAGAAATTCAAGCGTGATGAGCAAAAGGCTCTAACATTCTGACAATCAATTTAAGCATTTCGCATAATTATTCAATTACATTATTTGATAAAAAAACCTATTAAAACGTGATTAGGCTGTGTTTCAAATATACATTGTCAGTACTAAAATGTACAGTTTACGTTACGTATATGTATACTATAAATTTTCAATACTGATAGTATATATTTAAATACTATGTGTCGCGTTCTGGTGCTTTTTTTTTTTTGTTAAACAGTGTCATTGAAATAATTGTGTAGAATGTTCAAGTTGATTGCTAAAATGTCACCTTTTGCGTTGCTCATCATGCTTGAATTTCTTGCATAACCATTTCCTGTAGTCTTTTGACCGCTTAATACAAATCCGGTTTCAAATTGCTCCACAATTTTGTTTAAATTTGTAAAAGAAATTTTCGCGTATTTTGTCATATTATAATTATGATATGTGCTGTAGAAGTTTTGTTGCAATCAAAATTAAATATATTATTCGGACTTTTAGCCCTCAAACAGATTTTTAGCATTGGTTATACAGTTAATAAAATGCACGATTAAATTAGATCATTGACGATTTATTAAATGTAATAGCTTTTAATTATATTTATTTAAACTTTTAGATTTTTAGGCCATTGAATACGAATCCAGAATCAAAATTGACAACTTCAAAATGGTGGTTTCAATATTGGAGAATGTCGAAACTTGAAAAATGTTTGAATTGCTACAAAAATTTATATGTAGAGGTCTTTCATTAATTTGAATTTCAATGTCCAAAAATTACGAAACTGATTAGTTTCGTCTTGATGGCTTTTTTTCGAACAATGCTGTTAATTGTGTAGAATGCTCAAGCTGATTGCTAAAATGTTTGCCAAACATTTTGCAGCATTGCTCATCATGTTCGAATTTCCTATATAATTATTTTGATTATTCAATTAAATTATTTCCTTTTAAAGACTGTAAGTCCTAGCAACATATGTAATTTAGATTGCAATAAAACTTCTCCAGAGCATGTTACATATAATGACAACAAAATACATAAAAATAGTCTTTTTTGTAAATTAACTACAATTTGTCAGTAAATTTCTAAAAATTTACTGATAGAGTAATTCCGAAAATGAATTCGTATTCAGTACCTAAGAAACTATATAAAAAATAAAAAATAATTAGTTTTGTTCCAATGTTCAAAAAATTTTTTGTCGAACAATTTAGTTCAATAAAATTTTCAAATTTGTATCTAGCTAAATTTTTAGATCAGTTACTTTAGTAAAACCAACTTTTCTGTATTAAGAAATAATAAATCTTATTACAATTTATACAATAATGCGACGAGTTCGAATCATTTAGGGTTTTTCAGCACAACGAATCAAGTCGCGCCAGGTAATTACGGTCTTAAAGATATAAAAATGGCTCTCGAATGGATACAAGAGAATATTCACAGCTTCGACGGGAATCCTGAATCGGTGACCCTTATGGGACACAGTTCCGGTGCAGCGGCGACTCATGTTCTTGCTCTGTCAAAGAAAACCGAGAGACTCTTTCACAGATACATTTTATTAGGGAGTTCCACTTTAAGTCCATTCAGCATTCACCCTCCAAAAAGATATAGACAAGTATGTCTGAAATTGGCAAAACTTGTTGGCTGCCTGTTGAAAAAAGACGATGACATAATTACGCCGAATGAAACACTTATCTTCGATCTGACCACAGAAGACATTTTATATCCGGGTTATAAAGTAAAAAACGACGAAGAGATAATGAAATGCATGAGAACGATTGATGCGAAAAGATTAGAAGCGATGACGCATTCTTTCGTAAGTGTCAATAGAGATATGATATATCTATTATAGAAATATTGATATCTTATCTAATAAGAATAGTTTTGTATTATTTTATATTAGTTTGTTTGGAGGTCACATCCGTGGTATAACTTTGGTCCTACATTGGAAGATGACTCAGAGGACGCCATTATGACTGTGCATCCAATAAAAACAATAAAGGCCGGACTGTTTCGCGATATACCGGCGATAATACAAGTCGTGAAGGACGAGGGTTTAGTAAAGACACTCGGTACTTACGAGTAATAACGGACTTTTCCGTTATTATTTCTTGTAATAATGTTAATTAAGTTATTGTCCAAATTAATTAACGGCGTCGGATAATTTTCCGAGATGGAAGAAATATAGTTATAATAATTATTATTATTACATTAATTAATTTTATATCAACTAAAATTAAAATTGTAGAGCAATTATTAGCTACTTGATATTCGTTTCAACGAAAAATTTCTAAATTTTTAACTAAATTTCAATACGGAAAAAAAAATTTTGACGATTCCGTATCCATTCGTTTCAGAATTAATCATAGATCCCGACGCCGAGGACGAATTAATGATGAATTTCGAAAAATATTTGCCTTACTTTACGGAGTGCCACGAAGTGATTTCCAACACTACCGTTTTCGCTTCTGCAATAGAAGATTTTTATTTTAACGGAAATGTGATGTTGGGTCTTATGAATAATATTACAGAGGTGAGTTCTAGGATGAATACGTGAGTGATGTTTGACAACAAGATAATTTTTTTAGATGTTGAGTGATGCTATAATATGGCCGATAATTCAAACTGTACAATATCAGTCAAATCTAGGAAACGCCAGCATTTACTTTTCCTTCTTCGCGTACGTAGGCACATTTTCGAACACCTTCGCTTCAGGAGTCCCCGTTGCTTATGGTACGTCATCTATGGTACACTATTAAAACCTAAAAACATTTCCATGTACGCAGTTAGAAATTTATGTTAAATTTAATACAGTTCATATATCCCAAACAGTCCAAATTTTTGTGTTAATTTAATACAAGATGAATATTAAAAGATATACAAATATTATACAAAAAATTAATACAAAATTACTTTGACATAATTTGAAAGCAAATTGTAAAAAGCACACTTTTTCAGTAAAATTAATATTCATAATATATTAAATTAATGGGTTAACATTTATTATCTGTTATTATTATTTCTATTATTTTTATTATTTATTTTATTTATTTATTTTAGAATTTACATTTTGAAACTGTATTATTTTTATATTATTTGTTCACTTATTTATAAACTCCATTATTTTAACACTAATTGTAAGAATGGTTGAATATTAATTCAATACAGAATATTCAATATTCAAATAACACAATCACATTATGTTACATTAACACGCGGATTAAAAATTCATCAAAATTGTTGACAGATTTTAATACAAATAAAAAATAATTTTTATTTTATAACATTATAGGATTAAAGTTAAAATTAATGCATACCACCTTGATCAAAAAGTTCCCGGAATTACCACTAGGTGATGCTCTGAGTCAGCTGATTTGAGTTCTTTTTTTGAGTTTTTTTTTTGGTTTAGTTTGCATATCTATCATTGATATTCCCACCAAATTTTATCACCATAGCTTGACATTTGTAAAAGTTACGCTGTCTTGAGTACATCTACCTCTGCACGTATTTTCGATTTTGGATTTGTGGGCAAACAACTCATGGATTTTGCGCCATGATAACGCACCGTCGCACAGTGCCATCATTATCCATGAATTTTTGATAAAAAATGAAACGAATACCATCCAACAGCCATCGAATTCACCTGATATGGCTCTCTGCGATTTTTTTCTGTTCGATCGAATCAAAAAACCATTACGGGGAACGCGTTTTAACAGCCGAAAGAAGGTAATGGAAAAATTGAAGACGGCTCTGATGGCTATACCGACAATAGAGTTCCAGAAATATTTCGAGAGCTGGATCAAGTGCTGGCATAAGTGCGTTGCAGTCGATAGGGAGTACTTTGAAGAGGATAATATCACTTTTGATGAATAAAACTTGTATTTTGAATTTTCTGAATGAATTCCGGGAACTTTTTGATCGAGGTATACAATAAAATACATAAGAAATCTCTCGAAGTTCAAACTTTATTTTCTATTTCTTCAGTCAGTAAGGAAAATAAATAATTAAAAATACTGATTTTGATATGATAATATTGTTGATTCTTTTCTTTTTGATTTCAAATACTTACTGTTTCTAAATTTAACAATAAAATATTTATATTGAAAAAAACAATATGAAAAAGAAGGATCCGATTCTTCATCATCAATTATAATTATATCGACTATCTTCCGCAATCGAACATTAAACAGACATTTATGTGAATTTTAATAATTAATAATTTATTCCTTCAGCTGTTTCACATGGCGACGAATTAAACTACTTATTTCCTATATTGAATAATATGTACAAAAATATGTTATTGTACAATACACAGAACGATATTACTATGATTAACATCATAACAGAGATGTGGACAAGTTTCGTGATAAATGGGTAAATAAAATTAATAGTATTATATGATATGATTGTAAAGATTAATAAGATTAATAAGATAATTATTTCGATTGTAATTTTTCAAAAACGAAAATTCTTCGAGTATACTACGTTCAATTACCATTCTATTTCCGACATCACATTGCATGTGATCCTTTCAAATCCGATAGGAATACTAAATCGCTAGGAAATTCTGTTCTATACAGACGACCGGATATTCTTACCAATCGTAATGTTTATTTCATATGTACAGAATCCCGAAAGCATGGCAGATCCCGGAATGGCCCAACTACCGCAATCATCAGTTCATGAGATTCGGGATTGACAGATCGCCGGAAACTGTGGTGCAAGCTGATTTCCTGCCTAACAGAATGAAATTTTGGGAGAAACTGATGAACGAATCAGTGGAATCGACGAACGACGTGTTTGTTAGCGAACTACCGGAAGACATAATTATCAATAATAACGCTAACGCAATCGATTATAGGTTAACAGTTCAGTTCGCATCATTAGTGATAATTTTTATTTATGTATGAATAAAGTTACTATCTACGCTCGCGAAAATAAACTATAACGAAAATACGATGATTCGCATAAGCTATAAACTGATATTGAGCAGGTTTTTCCACGCATCTTGTCACATATGTTTATTATTTAAATGATATTTCCACTCGGGCGATTCAAACCAAAAATCAAATTATATGTCAAAAATTATCTGTAGTATAAATGCAAAGAAAAAAATATGCGAATATAAATAAACAGTATTTTATACGTAAATTATAAATATTTATTGTGTATATAAAAATATTTATTGTGAAATGTATTCTCCTTGTTAGTTGATAAAATATTATTTAGAAGCGCCAAAAGTAGATACAAATGTAAAGCAAATATGGGTGCATTATAGAAAAATATGAATAGAACACATGACTCGTTTTTTTGTGGCTCAAGATATATTTAAAGTTCGATGCACTTTCCACGGAAGTTACTTTTATCCGCGTCAGTAAAAAGTAACGATGCTAATAAACACGAAGCGAAGCTGTTTCACTACCTGACGTTATCTCTCTCGCGGTACGAGAACGATACAGTTGTTAATAGCATCGATAAAGTTTCGAAAGATACATAAATAGAAAGTTTTGAATTTGACTGTGTAAATATATCAGGTGCAAGCTTTCGTTAATCTCCTAATCCAGATTATTAAAATTTTCAATTAAATATACGTTATATTTAAGTACACATAAAATTATATTTCAATACGTTAAAAATATATCGCACTCCCGCAAAAAAATAACATAGGTAAAAAATGTTCAGGAAAGAGAAAAAAAATTGCAATTTTAAAATTAATTATTTTAAAATTAATTTATGAGAGTATTAACACTATTAATCCTAATCGATATTCTCTGAAATTTCCTTAACAGATATTCGCGGGTCCAATGTATCTTTGCTTAAAGTAAACATAATTGAAAGAATTTTTCTTATTTTGAAGATCAAAGTTCAAAGAATAAGATTGCGTAATTTAAAATAATGTAAAGTTGTGAAAAACATTTGTTAAATTATAAATAATTATTCACGATGTAGTTGAAGAAAATTCCAGGTTCACTGAATCTGCGAATATCAATTAAGATTTAAGTCAAGTAGAATTAATCACAAATTACTGACCAATATATCTACATTGGCCAGTATATTTACATAATACTGTTTTCTCCTCTATCGTTTCTTCTGTTTTTATTATGAATATTTTTGTTTGCCTCCATCATGTGGGAGCACAAATTATGACTGAAAGACATCACGACCGCTCCCGAGAGTCATTCGCGTTTCCGCTTGCAATTATAGCCGAGATTAACGTCATCAAAAGTCCCCAACGGGTCGGTGCGGCAGCCGTCGCATTAAAGAGAGCCTAATAAACGAAAGACATAATGAAATTCGCTGAAAATTAAGTTCGCCACACGATGAGTTAACGCGCATATAAAATATGCAGCTTTCAGTTTTCCCGACGAACCTGGGCGCGCGAGTGCGCTCGGGGAAATTAATCATCCGCCCTAGGCAACCGCTGTTTGTCTTCTTTCCGTTTTCCATTCCGTTTCCGGATGTATCGCGGGAGGAACTCGCCGCCATACGTTGCGCCGCGAAGGCGAGCGAGCGAGAGTGAGATTACAGCAGAGAAAGAAAGGGAGGATCAGACGTCCTCTCGAGCGATGATTATGCAACGACGATGAAACGAAGACAAACACACCGTGCCGTCGCCCTCGGAGTACAGGCGAGACCGTATCGTCGTGCCTCTCTTAAGGATGAAAAGTGCTAACAGCCATGTAAATCCGCGAGATCTGTGGGACTCTACGTGGATTATCGTACGGCTTTCGTCTTCTGTAAACCTCACTGTGACGCAGCGAGATAAGTACAAATGTCGAGTTCGGACGCATTCTGGTGTGCTTATACTTATACTTTTCCATGGAGAATCCATTTAACATTACCATGGAAAGAATAGTTTTGCTCAAGAATCTACAAATTTTTTTAGCTAAATACAAACATTTTTTTAGCTAAATACTGAAAATAATTTTGTGTGGTCCATTAAAATAATATGTAAAATATTCAAACTGATTGTTAAAACGTTAAAATTTTTTGCACTCTTGTCACCGATTAAGCGTTCTATATACAATATAATGATTATTTTGACAATCCAACAAAATTATTTTTAGATCTGTATAACTAAATTTTTAATATAACAAAACTATTCTTTTCACCTAAAATAATTGTCGACACATTCCAATTACTCACTTATATACTTTTTCACGGAGAAATCATTTAATACTATACGAAAAAAACTGTTTTCTTCGATCTAAAAATTTAGCTAAATACAAATCTCAAAATAATTTTGTCTGAACAATCGAAATAATTATGTAAAATTATGTAATTATTCAAATTGATTACTAGAATGTCAAAACTTTCTGCAGCCTTATCTCTCGTCAACGCTTAATATAATCCAACAAAATATTCCAATCTAATAATTTAATAATTTAACATATAATTATATTTTAATAATCTACCAAAATTATCTTCGGATTTACATGTGTAGCTAAATTTTTAAATACTTCAGTAAAATTATTTTTAATGTATAATTAATATATTATACAAATTATTGCGTGTATGTATTTTTTATTGATATTAACTGATATTTTTCGAACATTATTATCCTTGTTTCGTTTGCAATTTCGTGAAAATGTAAATAGTGAACATGAAATTGACAAAAAAAATATTTGGTAATCAAGTGCGAATAACAGACTGGGAATGTTACATATTAAATTTTAGCCGGACAATGTCTTTCCGGTAATATTTCGTTATTACAAGAGCGATGCAACGCGACGCGCTTGTCTTTCTCGCCAGCCACCTTATTCAAATGCCACATATTTTCATCAAAGTTTGCGCAAATATTTGCCGGCGCGCCTCTTATATATCCAAAGCAGCGGAAATGCAAACACGAAGCTCTTGACTGTCGATACAGAGGCAGGAAATTAATTAAAAAATGCGCCTTCATGCTTTTTGAGATCGCTAACGACTAATTAATAGAATCATATGTTGTATTGATATCGCAATTGGCTCTTCGCAATCAATGTTATTTATTATATAATACATATATACATACAATATACACGATAAAATTAGAATGTTATTGAAAAAATCGTTCTCTTATTTCAAAGTGACACAACGTAAAAAAATAAGTTTTAGAAAGAAAAGGGGAAACTATTTTTAACTTAATAAAAAATTATTAATTAATCGAATAATATCGGCAAAAAACGTACATTCATATGATCACATGCCATTTTCGTCGTTTTTGTTTCATTCTTAAAAAATCTTCCTTTTTTGAATTGTAATTTTAAGAGTAAAATTTTGATGATTTTTTTATAAGATTAAGTTAACAATTTCACAATTATAATTCAAAGTTAGATCGACAAGAATATATAAACCAATTAAGTGAAATAATTACATTTTTGATTAAAGCGAATTTTAAACACTAAGATCTGCTTTAATCGAAAATGGAATTACTTCTTTTAAGTTAAGTTATTTTTGATAATTCCTAGGATAATGTTTATTTAATATAAACTCAATATAAACTCATTCATAATAATAATTCGAAAATCACATTTTTAAAATAAGGAAATGAAATGTTTATTACTAATTTTACAATTTTATGTAAATTTCAATTTGAACATTCGAGCGTAATTCTGATCTTGTCTCTCGTCAGTTTTCTAAGCGTTCGGCTTTAAGTTGATTTGTAATTTGACATTTAATTCTGCCCAAAGCGCGAAACTAATTAACGGCAGGATAACGGTAGGGAACCGCTAAGCGACCAAATTCCTATCGTTTTAAACTACACGTGACCGCGCCAATTGAAATGACATGCAAAGATAATATTGTTACACCTTGGGCTGGAAGGTAGCGAAACTAAAAGCTATTAAAGTCACGTATGTGAACGTATGTAGAAACGCCGGTAGAAACGTCAACTTTTATCGCCCGCGAGCGTTAACTTTGTACGAAAGTGGACGAATTAAAATATATAGAGAAAGAGACTTATTTACGTGAAACCGAACGCTTTCGCAATTTAACAGAAAATTCCTTCTTTATAATTCGTTTATTTATTTGGCGGACAAGTATAACAAAATGACGTATAATTCGTATTGAAATAATTTGACGTTCTCCGTATCCGAAATAGAATTCCGTTACGCGTATTACACCGAGACAGTGTTCTTTATAAGTTCGAGACAGTCGATGCACTTAATCCACTTTCCTCGTTGCTAATGAATAGAGTTCTGCTAACGGCATTCGCGAAGCTGTGCCGTTTCGTGGCTTCGGAATTAGATTCGCGAAATACTTCGCGCTAATGTGATATTCAAAATCCACGGACCTATCGCGCACAATGAGAATCGTATTTATCGAAACGTGAAGGTATATGTGAAGTCTGATGTAGCAACAAATTTAATAAGCAGGAATTTAATAATTATCTCTCTCTCTCTCTCTCTCTCTCTCTCTCTCTCTCTCTCTCTCTCTCTTTATTTCTCTCTTTTTATTTATATCCGCTGCTTACTATTATCCTTTGTTTTTTCTTTTACATAGTTTACAGTCTTTTTCAATATAATATAAAAATATTTGTGATTTATTTATATTGTTTTTGCTTTTCATTAGATTTTTGTTCTTTTATTCTTCTTTTTATTTATGTTATGTTCTTAAAGGGCTTGTTCTAAAATAATAATAGGTATAAATACTTTTATCTCTCTTTTTCTCTCTCTCTCTCTCTCTCTCTCTCTCTCTCTCTCTCTCTCTCTCGCTTCGACTTTTTATTTATATTCGTCTATTCACTATGTTATTTTTTGTTTTCTTTCTTTGCTTTTATGTAGTTTAAAGCTTTTATTTTTGATATTTTATTTGTATTATTTTTGCTGTTTGTATATTTTTATTTTTTCACTCTTTTTTTATTTCCATGTTTTTTCTTACTTACTTCTATATTTTCAAAGGGCTTGTCCCAGAATAAGAATAAAAACCACCTTTATCTATCATCTGTCTATTTTTTTTCTCTTTTTCTCGTTCTCTGTTTTTATTTTAATCCAAACATAAATTATAGTATAAATTATCATATAAAGTTGATACTCCTCTTAGTAGAAAAATTTTGTCATCGTTCACATTAAGACCG